CGCCTGCCCCAGAAGGAACAGAGCGTGACCGTCATTTCTGGTCACTGGGTAGAACGAGATCTCGCTTTGTAGTGGGGATGCGAGTGCACAGAACAGAACACTCTTCCCTCAGGCTTCACGGGGGGCCTGAGGGAAGTAGTCACAGTCACAGCCAATGTTACAGCCAATAAGATCATGCTCAAATACACATAAATTTAGAAGGATTTAAGAAAATGGTCAAGTAAATAATGCTCTTCTCCAGGGAGCGAGCGGAGCTGGTATTAATCAGGATAGCAGTGTTGCTGGACTCTCAGCCAAGCCCAGGCGAATGGCTGCCAAGGCAAATCAGGCATCAGGTTTCAGAAATTAAACACATAATTTTATTTTTCCGCAGTAGGGAACTTTCGGAAAAAGAACCAGATCTATTAGGCTACGCAGCACACTTTGTTCAGCTTCTTTCGGCCCCAAAGGCCTCCAGTTTAAGAGCAAGATGAGCAACTGGAAGCCAGAAGTGACACAGTTATTCCTTTCTCCTATTGACTGCCTGGGGGTGGGGCTGGGAGGAGTGGGGCAGGGGTAATGGTACTGTTTTTCAAAGGTCCAGTTGCTGACCACTAGCCAACAGTTTTTCCACGAATTTATAGGACAAAGACCTGAAGGGCTGGAAAAGAAAAAGTCGTAGAGGAAAAGCTGGCCAAACAAAGATTGGCTGATGGTTTCTCATGAACCACAGTCAGCAAAGAAAGCGGCTGGTCTCAGGAAAAATTCTCTTCCATCACCGTAAGGGGGACCCACCTGGCAGACGATTTCCCCCAAGAACCCCAGGCTTGTTGGTGATGGAGAAAGTTGTTTTCACAATTCTCCAGTGAAAAAGAATTATGAAACCCTGGGTTTAGTCCTATGCCAAGTGTTGTGGATATCGAAAACGTACACGGTGAGTGTAAAAGGACCACTGGAGCTGCCGCAAGAGACCCAGGAGGGCTGGAGGCTTAATGAGGAGGTGGAGCTTGTGCTGGTCTGCAGAGCTCTGATCTACAACCTGACATAAATTCCCTCACCTTCCTTCTTTCCCCCCTTAAAATATTTCTGAAATATTATTATTTCTGTAATAATATTTCCTTTATTATTGCAAATTTTCTCTGTCTCTCTGCTCTTATCACTCGGCATAGTCTCCTACAGCGGTGGGGGCCACTCCCGCGAGGTTAGTGACCATCCCATATGTTGATGGTTCCCAGATTTCTCTCCAGTCTCAGCCCTGCCAATCAGATCTTCGGAACATCTCTCCTTTGATAACTCACATTCTTCCTTTCAACAATTATTTTTATGTGGTGTAAAGGTTCTCGAACGTGGTCACACAGGGGAATCCTTGGGATGCGCTTAGAACTTGTGGAGCCCAGGCCGTAGCCCAGAGCAATGAATCGGAGTCTCTGGAGGTGCGAGACAGGCTGCAGTTATTAAAGTTGCCCAGTTTTCATTTCAATGTGAGCCAAGTTCGAGAATTCACTGATCTACGAGGTATATGGAAAGGAACTTTGCTGCAAATCACCAAGTATGTAGGAATTTTATTTTTATTTGGTACTTAATTGGACAGAAACAAGAGAAAAACAGCAAAGTCAAAGCTTCCCGTGAAGGGGAAAGAACACTAAATTGAGAACCCTGATACCCTAGTTTAAGACCTGATGGAGCAATTTTTTATGGGTGTAAGGGAAGTCCTTTCACTCCTTACCTCCGGAAGAGCCTTGAGTGTCACACCGATATCCCTCCTACCTACTTCATAGGGTTACTGTGAACATTATTTGAAAAATAAACATTGTAGGCTTTCACAGTTGTACACTGGAGACAAATTTAAGGTAATATTATTTTGGTTTTAAGTTTTAAATTTATATTTTGAAATAATTTTAGATTTATAAAAGGGCTGCAAATAGCCCTGGCTGGTGTGGCTCAGTGGACTGAGTGCTGGCCTTAATACCAAAGGGTCGCTGGCTCGATTCCCAGTCAGGGCACATGCCTGGGTTGTGGGCCAGGTCCCCAGTTGGGGTTACAGGAGAGGCAACCACACATTGATGTTCTCTCCCTCTCTTTCAACATCCATTCCCCTCCGTCTAAAAATAAGTAATTTAGAAAAAAAAAAGTTGCAAATAGTAGAGCTGCTTCCTGTATACCTTTCAGCCATCTTCCTCAAATGCTGAGGAAGTGCAACTGCCAAAACCAAGAACTGAGGTTAAGAAAACACTACCCTGGCTGGTATGGCTCAGTTAGTCGGGGTCAGTTCCTGATCAGGGTATGTGCCTGGGTTTCGGGTTCTGTCCCCATTCGGGGGGCCCACAGGAGGAAAATGATTAGTGTTTCTCTCTCTCTCTTCTCCTTCCCTTCCCCTCTCTCTAGAAACAATTTTTTAAAGGACTCATAAAATGCTATTCACTAACCTGTGGACTGTATTCTGGTTTTATTATCCCACTGGTGCACTGGGCCCTTTTTCTGGGCCAGGACTAAATCTCGGATCAGGCATCACATTTAGTTGTCATGTCTCTTCAGTCCCCTCTAATCTGGGACTGTTCCTTCCCTTTTCTTTCTTTTATGACCTTAACATTTTTTAAAGGAACTGGCCAGTTCATCTGTAGATTTCCCAATTTTGGATTTGTCTAATGCTTCCTCATGGTTTAACTACGTTTGTACATTTTTTTAAAAGAATACTACAGATGTGATTTTGTGCCCTTCTAACTGCATCGTGTTGAGAAGTACCTAATATGTTCACTTTAACCACTTGGATAAGGTGACGTCTCCCAAATTACTCTCCTCTAAAGTTACCTTTGTAACTTAAAGTTATCTTCACAGGAGATACTTTTCGATACAGGCTAATTTGATTCTAAGTGATTGGGAAGACTATTGCCAGAAATAGAGTGAAGTGTAGGACTTCAGGTGGAGATGGTAAACACAGCTTGTCTCTTTGCACAACCACATCAAAATTACAACGAAAATATAGAACAACCATCACTCAGACATGTTAGAAATCAAGTTGAATGGAAGCCTGACAGCTACAGAATTAAGCCACATCCGTTCAGTCTGGTTGGAGGGGCAGTGACACGGAACTGGCTGGTCCCATATCCATGTGTGGTGGGTAAAAATTTGAGAGGGACATATAGTGAGTGAGGAGTCCCAACCCCACATCAGGCCCCCCAGTCCAAGGTTCCAATGCCAGGAAGATAAGTCTCCATAACTCCCTGCTGCAAAACCCAGCAGGGATTAGTTGGAAGAAACTTCTGGAGTCCCAAGCAGCTCCTCTTAAAGAACCCACAAACATTCTTACTCAGACTCACTCCTTCTGAGTTCCAGCATCAGGGTAGCAGCTTGAAAGGCACCAGTGGCACACAGGAGGCAACTGAAGTGTCTGGCAACAAGGTAAGAGCTGGGAGACAGCTCTCTCCCATACAAAAAGGTGGGCAGAGGCCATTGTCCCTTTTCTGAACCCTCCCCCCACAGAATCACAGACCCAGCAGACCGGTGCCATACCTGAGACAATATCAATATAGCTAACACTGTTTGCCCCACCCTGGAGATTTCCCAGAGACTCTGTCCCACCCAACTTACAGCTTACTTAAGCTGCTTTCCCTATGAATGGCTGGTCTTGGCTCAGGCATCACAACTTTCTAAATCCTCTCAAACAAGCAACAGCCAACCCCAGTGAGTCCCCAGCCCGTCCCTCTTGCTAACTGGCTCCAGGCCCAGCACTAGCAACAGCCATGTCAGATAGCTTTATAGTTCAGGCAGGTGGCCCCAGGCAGAACACAGGAGGGGGATGACTTTGGTCCCCACAACCCGGGAAACTCCAGAGGCTGGCACCCAATGGCCAGATACAGAGCATGTCAGTGCACCACCACCCTGCCCCTGCACAGCTGATCCTCCAGGGAGGGCAGAGGTTGGTGGTCAGTGATCACAGCCAATACAGTATAGAAAATGGAGTAGCCAAAGGACCTATAGGAATGACCCATGGAAAGGAACAAAGGTGTGGGGGTATTACCTGAGGCACTGGGGGTTGCTGGGTACAGGGGGGCAAAGGGAGAAAAATCAAGATGACTGTCATAGCATAATCAATAAAATATAATTTAAAAAAGAAATAGAGTCAGATGTGAATAAAGCAAGAATAAATGCAGCCCATAAACAGGTGTTTGGGGGGACTGGTAGGTGTGAGGGATCTGTATCAAGGAGTTCCAGGTTAGCTTCAAATCCTGAAGTGAGACGTGGGGATGGTGCAATCAATGGATAAGATCTTCAAGAAATCAGTGGCTCCTCCATGTTTCCCAGGAAACCTGTCCCCTGACAGCACCGCCTTGGAAACCTTAGGGCTAGAGCTGTACCACCTCGACCCCTGAGCACTTGGTGTTGGCACCCAATGTCAGACGCTTTTAAAAGGACGCTCAGGTGACCCGACCAGTAGGGCGATCGGGACAGTGCGCACGCGCCGGAGGAGGCGCGGGGCGGGGCCACGCGCGGGGGTGGGGCCTCGGTGCGCAGGCGTCCTGGTGGAGGGTGCCTGCGGCTCCGGATGGAGGGTGAGTGAGTAAACAAGCCCGGGCCGGGCGGTGGGGCCGGGCCTGGGCACCTCTCCACCCTAGGCCTAGGCGGGAGAAGCGAAGGGGTCAGGGAATTGGGAGGAAAGGGAAGGGCACGCTGCCTGTCTACGAGGAGTAGTGGGGCGCCCACTCCCGGTTCCGAGGGCTGGGGGACGGGGGCGACGGGGCGAGTGAACCCCCGGCCAGGACCGCGTCTGAGGTGGAGAGGGCGGTGTGTCCGGGAGGTGGAGCGGCGGGGGCGGGTCCGGAGACGAGGAATCCCGTTGGAGGGCGGGGTGGGTGGGTAGGCGGGAGCCCCAGAGTAGTGAGGGCGTGGGTGGGCGGTGGTACCTGCGGAGGCCCTTAGCTAGGTGGATTCCCACGGACCTGGGGCTGTGAACCGGGAGGGCCGGACACAGGGGCTCAGCTTGGGGGTGTTGAGGAAGGGGTGGCAGTAAAAAAACAGGAAGGGGCTGGGTGGGGTGAGGCGAGGGAGGTCCTAAATTGGAAAATAAAATTGGGCTCTCACGGGGTGGAAGCGGTGCAGACGCCTCCTTAGGTTTGGGGCGCTGGGCGCCTCTCGCCAAGTTTAGTCTCGCACCTGTTCTTGCCCACCTCGGAATTTTCCTGGGGTTCAAACAGTAGAAGGGAAAGAACCTTAAAGAAAAATTGCAAGGTGTTGTGTTTGGGACGTGCGCGTTAGAAAATGTGGGACAAACTTATTTCAGCAAAAAGTAACTACTGATAAATTGTTTGGTTGGCTAGGAGAGGGAAGGAATGTGGAAGGATGTTAGTGCAGCGGGTCGAATATTAAGAGCGGGCTTTTGTAGGTGAATTGTAAGGATGTAGATATATGGAGAGCCTAGGTGTGGATTCTGGCTAGAGGGATGAGGGTAAGGAAAGGAGCCCAGGCGAACGATGTACTATGTGCTCATGAGGACCGCATAGAGAATGTGCTCCGTTTCTCCACGTTTGCTGCGAAACCGGCATTGAATGAAGTTTCCAGCCTCAGAAGTTGCTGTCAGAGGTTCTGTGAGAGCTTGTCTATTTTAAGCCTTGGAATCCCCAGGGCTGGGATGGTTTGGCATTGATAAAAGAGATTACTCACTTACATAGAAGAAAGTGTGCGTTTGAAGATAAGTACGGTTTTATACCACAATTACAATAGAGGCCAGGATTATCTATAAAAATGTAATGATGTTACTGTCAAGGTTTATTTATGTTGAGTGTGTGTATCACAGTATGAATTAACTCTCCCGGAACTGGGATATTTGTTTGTTTGATTTTTATCCTCACCCAAGGACTTTTTTCATTGCTTTTACAGAGAGAGGGAGAGAGAAAAGCATCGATTGGTTGTCTCCCATAAGCACCTTGACCAGAGATTGAACCAAAACTTAGGTATGTTCCTTGAACCGAGAATCCAACAGCTAACCCTTCAATTACTGGACTTTGCTGCAACTAAGTGAACCACATTGGCCAGGGCCTGTTTGTCTGTTTTATTCACGGATGTTCCCTAAGTACCTAAAACAGTGCCAGACACACAGTAGGTGCTCAGTACATATTTGTGGGACACATACATTGCAGGCAGATCTCTGGGTCTGGCAGTCAGAGATCTGGATCCTAACTCTGCTCCTAATTGGCAGAGTCCTTGTAGTCCAATCATGGAACTTGATGTCAAAACACAGCCTTAAAACTACAAGGTTGATATGGTTTCATTATGCTGTTATTTGAATTCTCTTTGAAACAGCACTAGAATAAGGAGCCTAGAATTAAAACAATGAAATTTTTACTACCAAGACCACTTTTGTGAGAAGGCAAAAGGTGAGAAAATATAGTTGGACTTGTTTCTCTTGTCTTACTTGCCTTTGAATTAGTCTGCCTTTAAGGAAAACTATTTAAAGTATTGATTTTGTGGGTTTAATTTTCAATATCTGAAATCTGGCTTCCTTAGTCCTCTGAGAATCAGTTTCTGCCCTTAATTCATGCTTTATGTGAAGCATGTAACAATTCATTTCCTTAAATAGTATATCTTTTTCCTGTTTTAGAATAAGTGTTAAAAGTTTCTACTTTGGACCTTACTGGTGTGGCTCAGTTGGTTGGGCATCATTCTGCAAACTGAAAGGTTGCTGGTTCAATTCTGGTCAGAGCACATGCCTGGGTTTTGGGTTTGGTCCCTGGTGGGGGGCACATAAGAGAGGCGATCCATGTTTCTCTCTCACAGTGATGTTTCTTTCACTGTCTTTCCCACTCTCTATAAAATCAATAAAATGGTTTTTGGGTTTTTTAAAAGATTTTATTTATTTATCTTTAGAGGGGAAGGGAAGGAGAGAAATATCAATGTATGGTTACTTCTCATGGATCCCCTGCTGGGAACTGGCCTGCAACCCAGGCATGTGCCCTGACTGGGAATCGAACCACGATCCTCTGGTTCACAGGCCTGTGCTCAATCCATTGAGCTATACCAGCCAGGGCTGGTTTTTTTGTTTTTTTTTTTAAATAAAAGTAAGTTTCTACTTTGTTAACTGGCAACTTATGAAAAAAAGTTGGAGGCAACAACACTAAAAACACATTACAATTCTACATAGGGTAGTTGAAATTAACAGAGAAAAAAAGGCATGTGGAGAAAGGCATAGCGAATTACACCAGTTATATTAGGATTGAGGGGGAGGATTTAAAAAGGGAAAACTGCTCTTAGGGAATACCTCCATTCTAGGAAGTCCCAGCTTTTTTTCTTTTTAAGTTTGTTCAAACTGTGTTTTGGGCTGTTTTCTGTCTCTCTAGTCCATCAGCCTGTGAGTTGAGACTTGAGAGCTCGAAAACGTAAAGTGAAGAATTACTTAATGGACAGTTAGAGTTACGTGCTTCTCGTGTGTTGTGTTCTCTGACTTGCCCTAATTGATTCAAAATGGAATAACTAAAAAGCCTTATTTTTATTGAATGATAATGAGCAGTCACTAAATATTAAACTTTGTGCTAGTGTAGTACAGAATCGGCCAAGATAGCTGTTAGGAGATTGCTTTAACTATTCTAAGTGATTGTTGTGTATCCTAAGAGCTAGTGTTTTCCTTTGGGTCTCACAAAAAAAAAAATCAATCTGTCTTTGATATTTATCACCATTGTCTCCAGTGCAAGTGATCTTATTCTTTTAATGAAGCAACACTAGGAAATATTAGTGCTATAATTTTATTTTAAATAGAATTCAGGATCACAGCTTCCTGTGAGGTGTTTTTATTCTTTCTTTTGTTTTTTTGAAGATTTTATTTACTTATTTTTAGAGAGAAGGGAAGGGAGGGAGAAAGAGAGGGAGAGAAACATTGATGTATGAGAGATACTTGCCTCTTGCACGCCCCTTGCTGGGGACCTGGCCCACAACTCAGACATGTGCCTTGACTGGGAATTGAACCTGAGACCTTTTGGTTCCCAGGCCAGCACTCAATCCACTGAGCCACACCAGCCAGGGCAGGTGTTTTTTTCTAAGTTTATAGTTCCCAGAACCTCAAACTAATAACAAATGTAAATATCTTGGAGAAGTGGGAGAGTGAGTATAAGTTAAAGATGTGTTTAATACAGCCTACTTGAAGGATCTGTCATATATCTGGCCACAGAGTTGACATTAACAGGGATGTCTATGAAATTGGTGATTGCCACACCGACTCAGCTGTGCGATACTAAAGCCATTTGCAGAGGTAGGTTCATCCCTACCGTTTATGTTTCATCTTCACCATGAACTGAAAAGGAAAGGGTGAGGTGGAAAATTTTAAAATCTACAGGCATTACTTAGCCTGTTGTTTAATAAAATTATTTGTTACAAAAGAGAAAGTAAGACAAGCTTCTGCAAAGGGACACCTTTTTGTGGATAGAAGAATTTCATAGTTTGGAATTTTTACATTCTGATCTCAATCTAAGGTTAAGAATATTGTTCCTAGCCCTGGATGGTGTGGCTCAGTGAATTGAGTGCCAGCCTGTGAACCAAAAGGTTGCTGGTTTGATTCCCGGTCAGGGCACACGCCTGGGTTGCAGACCAGGTCCCCAGCTAAAGGTGTGTGAGAAGCAAGTGATTGATTATCTCTTGCATATCGATGTATCTCTCCGTGCCTTTCTCTCTCCCTTCCCCAATCCCTAAAAATAAATAAATAAATAAATCCATTTGAAAATAAAATCAGACTGTTGTTCCTAAAATCTTTTATCTCCAAACATTTCAAAACTGGTTTTCCATTTCTAACTAGTGGCAAACTACAGTCTGGTTTAAGCCTTTGAAACAAATTGAGATCCAATTTTCTAGGGAAAGATTTCCAAGTTTTTAATAGCATTCTTTTCCCATAGATATTTGAATTGTAAATAAGGTAGTTACTATTTCTAATTGTCAAATATTAAAATTTTTTTTCAAAGGTTTTATTTATTTTTAATACATAAAAGTTTGGAGAGAGGAAGGGAGTGAGAAAGAGGAAACATCAGTATGTGGGTGCCTTCTGTGCGCCCCCTACTGGGGACCTGGCCTGCAGTCCAGCAACCTTATGGTTCACAGGTTGGCACTCAATCCACTGAGCCACATTAGCCAGGGCAACTTATTTTTTTTCTTTAATCTGCTTTATTGAGGTAAAATTTCACATGTAATAAATTATTCATTTCATGTATATAGTTCAGCAAGTTTTCATAAAAGTACATAGTCAAATAACCATTATCACACCAAAGGTATAGAAAAGTTTATCATCCCCAAAAAGTGCTTTTACACTCCTTTCCTTTTAATCGCTTTCCCCAACCCCAGCCCCTAATGATCCCTAATCTACTTTCTGTCAGTGTACATTTGCCCTTTCTAGAATTTTTGTAGTGGAATCATATAGTATGTCATTTTTTTGTGGCTGATTCCTTTCACTTAGCATAATGCTTTTGAAATGTGTTGTGCATGTATAGGAACTGTTCATTCCTTTTTATTGCTGAGTGGTATTTCATTGTGTGTATATACTGCACTTTGTATGCATTTGCAGATCCCTAAATATTTGTCTTGTTTGCACTTTTTGGCTCTTATGAATAAAGATGCTATGAACATTTGTGTACAGGTCTTTGTGGGGACATATATTTTCATTTCTCTTGGAAAATTAGAAATTGTATGTCAGGTTACATGGTAAGTATATATTTAACTTAGTTTATGTATTTATACTTGTCCAACTGGTTTCCAAAGTGTCTGTACCACTGAGCACTTCTGCCTCTGCTGTATGAGGATTCCAGTTTGTTCTGTATCCTCACCACCAGTTGGTAATACCAGTTTTTTTTTTTTATTTTAGCCATTTCAGTGGGTTGTAAGAGTACATCCCTGTGGTTTTGATTTGCGTTTCCCTAATGCTTAATAGTGCTGAGCATCTTTTTGTGCACATTTTTGTCATTTCTATATACTTTTTGGTGAAGAATCTGTTTAGATGTTTTTGGGGGGTTTTTTTTGCTATTTTATTGTGTTTTGGAGTTATTTATATACACTTATTTTTAAACTTCTTGACCAAAACATGTTTTGGAGGGGTTTTTTCCCCAAGATTTTATTTATTTTGTTTTTAGAGAGAGGGGACATGAGGGAGGAGGAAAGGGAGAGAAACATTGGTTGGTTGCCTCTTGGACATGCCCAGACTGGGACCGAACCCACAACCCAGGCATGTGCCCTGACCAGAAACCGAACCAGTGACCTTTCGCTTTGTAAGATGATGCCCTAGCAGCTGAGCCACCAGTGGGTCAGGGCACAGGTTTTGGAGTTTAGTTTCAGTGCATATGTGAACTAAGTGAACATAATGAAAAGTTCTAATACTTAGTAATAGCTTAGTACTAAACTGAAACATAAATGCTGTTTTGCATGTCTACGAACTAAAGAACAGATCTAATAGAAATATAAATATTTTTATGTGCCATTCCCACTGCTGAAGAGGAGTAAACCCATTTCTCCAAATCTGCTGTAGTGAATGCTAAGTGTTTTGTTTGCTTAATTAAAAAACAATACTTGAAGTGATAGTGGTTGGTTAGTGTCAGATGCTATGAGAGCCAGTCTGTGGCTATTTATTTTAATCATACCTGTCTGTTCCCAATAGTATGTCTCATCTTCCTCGCACACTCTGCAGGGATTGGCTAACTGCCGCATAAACATTCAGAGACATTGAAGACCCATTAAAAGGCAAAGCAAAATAAATAATGCCTCACTGGTCACATGAAAGTCAAATACTATTTTTATTTTAAAAGGAGGAAGTGTGGTTGTTTTACAGTATGATGATTAAAACAATGGCATTTTTGTGTATAAGGGTATTCTCTGGCTAAATAACATTTTTGAGTAAAATTAGAAGTGCCATTAATTACTGGACTATTTTGGTGTATTTACTGTTGACTCAACTTTTGGCAAAATATGGGAGATCACATTTGCAGTTATAACTCCTTAAATAAAAATACTGATATTTTTCTGTGGCTGTCTACTCTGAGAAGTCTACACACACACACACCCTAGCAGCTGTGAATTATGTTTTTTTCTATTACTTGATCTCCAGTTTTAAATGAATGCAGCAAACTACTGAACTCACCATACCAAAAAGGGAAATGAGTTCCAAAACAAATGAGAAAGGGAGTTAAAACCCAGTTTTTGAGGCATTTGCGAAGACTCACTGGGTCGTGATCTGTAACATTTGGGCCACTTGCCCAACATCGCAGTTAGGGTAGCTGCAGGTTTCTCAAGGAGGCAGTCGTGTCCTCCGTTTGAACCATTTTTTCATTTTCTGCAGTAGACTATTAATCTTGTCCTACAGAAATTATATGAACAACTACTTAATACTACGTGGGAGTGTGGTGTGTGTTCATAAATAGTTGTATCAGTCAGAGTCCCTCTTTTGGCCCCATTCCATAGAAGAATGAGAAATATTGAAAAGAGGGAGAAGAGAGGCGGTGCAATTCGCAGGAGAGAAATTCGGGTCAGCTTAATTTTTTTTTATAACCCAGCATTTTAACACTCTGAGATTCAAATTCCTAGTTTATGCTGTTTTTTCCTTCTTCCAGAGAGAATATTTAACTCAGGGAATTCTGTTTTTAAGAACTTGAATCATCCTTGGCTGGTGTAGCTCAGTGGATTGAGTGCAGGCTTACAAACCAGACAATCGCGGTTCGATTCCCAGTCAGGGCACATACTGGAGTTGCACACCGGTTCCCTGCAGGCCACTTCCCAGCAGGGGACGCACGAAAGGCAACCATACATTGATACTTCTCTCCCTCTCTCCTTCCCTTCCCCTCTAAAGATTAAAAAAAAAAAACAAAAAAACTTGAATCAGTTAAGTTTATAGTAAACAGTGAGTCTGTCTTGCATTTTTACTATTCCTTCCTTCCTTCATTTATCCTCTAAGTTTCTGATAGCATTACGTCAGTCTGTTTGGTCCGGCAAGTGAAACCAAGTCCCCGGGCGTGAGTGTGATCATCACGACTGGGCTGTGGCGTGTGCGTGGCAGTGGGTTCAGTTTTGCTATTTTCCTGTCTGTGCTGTCAGTTCTCGTGGGAAGAAGCAAGTAATTAAAAAATGATTCTTTAGAAGAAATATAATAGTAAACTCGAAAAGAAAATATTTTTTTTAATTTATTTTTTTAAATTGATTATGCTGTTACAGTTGTTCTATTCCCCCCTTCATTCCCCTCCACCCTGCCCCCCCAACCCCACCATTACCCCCCTTTAGTTTATGTCCATGTGTCTCAAGTCCTTTAGGTTCTATATTTCCCATGCTATTCTTGCCCCCCCGATCTATTTTCTATCTACTGTCTATGCTACTTATTTTCTGTACCTTCTCCCCCCATCTCCTCCTCCCACTCCCCTGTTGCTAACCCTCCTTGAGATCTTCATTTCTATATTTCCACTCCTGATCTAGCTGTTCTTTTAGTTTGCTTTCGTTTTAGGTGTGGTTGTTAATAACTGTGAGCTTGTTGTTCTTTCACTGTTCATGTTTCTTTAACTTCTTTTTCTTAGATAAGTCCCTTTAACATTTCATATAATAAGGGCTTGGTGATGATGAACTCCTTGAATTTGGTCTTATCTGAGAAGCACCTTATCTGTCCTTCCATTCTAAATGAAAGTTTTGCTGGATAGAGCAATCTTGGTTGTAGGTCTTTAGATTTCATGACTTGGAATATTTCTTTCCAGTCCCTTCTTGCCTGTAAGGTCTCTTTTGAGAAATCTGCTGACAGTCTGATGGGGATTCCTTTGTAGGTGATTGTCCCCTTAGCTCTTGCTGCTTCTAGGATTCTCTCCTTCATTTTAATTTTGGCTAATGTAATTATGATATGCCTTGGTGTGTTTCTTCTTGAGTCCAACTTTTTTGGTACTCTCTGGGCTTCTTGGATTTCTTGGAAGTCTATTTCCTTTGCCAGATTGGGGAAATTTTCTTTTATTATTTGTTCCAAATAATTTTTCCACTGGTGGTTGTGTCTTTCCCCCTTCTGGTACCCCTATAATTCGGATATTGGAGCGTTTAAAGATGTCCTGGAGGTTCCTAAGACTCTCCTCATTTCTTTGAATTCTTGCTCCTTGACTCTTTTCTGTTTGGCCATTATTTGGTTTCTTCTGGTCCACTCCATTGATTTGAGTCCCAGTTTCCTTTTCAACGCTGTGGGTTTCCTGTGGAATTCCATTCATTTCCATTAATTTAGCCTTCATATGTTTCTCTAATTTGTGGCTATAATCAACCAGATCTGTGAGGATCCTGATGACCAGTGTTTTAAACTGTGCGTCTGAGAGTTTTGCTATTTCTTCGTCGCTTAGATTTATCTCTGGGGCTTTGAGGTCTTCCTGCGACATTTTTGGTCTGTTCTGGCCCTTTAAATGTGAGAAGCGGCGCCTTGGAGTCCCAGGTCGCTGGGTTGTGACGCTGTATGTGGGGGCGTGGTCAGAGCGGGGGAAATGGCGGAGCCCTCTATCGCTGCCGCAGCCGCAGCCGGTCCAACCGCCCACTCCCTCGCTCGCGCGCAATTAGGCAACCGCAGTCAACTCGCTGCACCGCCTCCCCACTGTCTCCTCTGCAGTCGCTCACCCGGTGGGTTGCTCGGTCGCTCACTAGGTCCAATCCTGGGTTTGGAACCCGTGCGTCTGGATTCGCGCGTCTGGATTCCGCGCCCAGGTCCGACCGAGCCCTCCTTTGCAACTCCTCACTAGACGTCGGTTTCGCCCCTTACCGGTTGGGCTGAAGAATTTGTTGTTGGCGGACTTCCGAAAAGTTCAGTTTTCCGTGTTCTGGTTGTGTTTTCTGATGCTAATATTTAGTTGTCCCTAAACTTGGTTGTGTGAGGAGGCACGGCACATCCACCTAAACCTCCGTCTTGGTGGAAGTCCAGAAAATATTTTTAAAGAAATTTTAAAAAACAGAGTCTGAAACTTTAGTTTCTGTTTCAAATTTTGGCTCTTCCTAGCTCCTTGGAGTGTTTTCAGAAACTTAAAATATTAGGTTAAGTGAGCTGAACTGGTGGTTCTCTAGGAAACCTAAATAGTGAATATAGAGTAAAAACATAATCCTGTAGGTTTTGTTGAATTTTTAAATGTACGTAATATTTGTTCTTTCCCTGAAATAATTGATGGGGCTGCAGGCTGAGCCTAGAAATTGGTTCAGAAAAGCAGAATCGCGAACTTGGTGATTGCGAGACTATATCTGTACACGTGACTGGAAGGAGAGAATTGAGTGAATAGAGGACCCTCCCGACATCAGCATCTAGTATTGCTGAGACAGTGGGATCACTGACTTCAAGACCACTCTCTGTTCTCTTTTGAAAACCCGAACATTTGTTTTGCCTTCATATCTTACTGTTCCTCTGAAGAACAGAAGGCACATTAGAAAACCCAGCCCTTTCTCTTGCCTTCTATGGGTAGGTAGTGTGTGTTATACATAAGTACTTCTTTAACACTGTGACTCTTAAACACAAAGTTATTGCCAGCGTTACATATTTCCATATGTCTTGGGTTTGACTTGGAGGTGAAATTGGGCTGTTGTCACATCCTCCTGTATTGCTGAGGGTGTGACGCGGTTCATCAGCAGATGCAGTTTTATAGCTCGGGTCTTTCCATGACCCCTTTGATCCTGACTTCATTCTTGCTGAACATTTCTTTTACTCCAAGTAGTGAGTAGGCTTCAAAATTTCCAAGTAATTCAAGCTCCTAAATATCTATGAGAGAACTTCTTGGCCACAAAATTAAAAACAAGTTGTCACAAGAAGACAAAGGGTAAGCTCTTTGGTAATGAGACCAGGAATTAAAAGATTTTCCCATCAGGGGAAATCTTCTAATTGAAACTTTGTGTTGAACTCATAGATTTGGGTTCCTTAAATGTATGTCTTTATGAATAAATGTAGCGGGGATGAAAGTAGAACTGACCGTGTTTGAATTTGAGGAATGCTTTATTTTGAGGCAGTAAAGTGCTGTTTCTCATCCCTGTCTCTGTTAGATTACAGCAAAATGGATATACCAAACCCACCAACTTCCAAATGTATCACTTACTGGAAAAGAAAAGTTAAGTCTGAATACATGAGACTTCGACAATTGAAACGGCTTCAGGCAAACATGGGCGCAAAGGTAAAGAATAATTCCTGAGTGAAAGTCTCTGTGTTTTAATACATTGATTCTATGTGGAGGGGTTGAATTTTTTTTTTTAATTCTCTTAAAATCCTAACAACTTTTTTCTTGGCTTTGCTAGGCTCTGTATGTAGCAAATTTTGCAAAGGTTCAAGAAAAAACCCAGATTCTCAATGAAGAATGGAAGAAGCTTCGTGTTCAGCCTGTCCAGTTGATGAAGCCTGTGAGTGGGCATCCTTTTCTCAAAAAGGTACTTCCGGGTGTCTGAGCTCAGCCTTCCTCTCTTATATTTGTGATTAGAAAATAAGGATAATGACACAGCGGTTATACTCAGTTTTGAATAACGAGGATGGAAATTCTGTAGCTTAAAGCAGAAACTTTTGTCTGTTGTTCTCATTTAATGAGCATAATCACAGGTTTTTCATGGAAAAACAAAACATTTGGCTGTGGCCGGTGTGGCTCAGTGGATTGAGCACCGCCAGCCTGTGTACCGAAGGGGCCCCTGTTCGATTCCCCGTCAGGGCACCTGTCTGGGTTGCAGGCCAGGTCTCTAGTTGGGGGCGTGGGAGAGGCAACCGATCGATATTTCTCTGGCACATCGGTGTTTCCCTCCCTCTCTTTCTCTTTCCCTTCTCTCTCTGAAAAATGAACAAATATAATCTAAATAAATAAATAAAGTTTTCTCTCTACCTATTCCTATTTAGGAAAAAAAGAAAAACAAGACATGTGGTGTCTACCTTCCTGGGTTCTGTATCCAGGCTTAACACAGCCTCTTTTTGTGCCTGGTTAGGCACCTTCAGCACGTTGACACTGGAAAAGGGTCCAGGGGTGCCCTGGATAATGGGCAGGAGGGTAGCGATCAGAGAGATACCCTTGATTGGAAATGAACAAGTTTTCTTGTTTTGTAGAGCAATACTATTTTTAAAATACAAAAAGCAGGCAGTGTATTGAGAGTGATTTTGTTTCCCAAAGCAGGATATGACTATGATTTGTTTTGCTTTCCCCTGCACTGTCTGCGTCACTTGTGCAGCTTGGTTGGTGTCTGCTGTCTTAAAGTTTAGGTCTTCAGGAAGACTTCCTCCTGTGCCTCCTCATAGGACTTTCAGAGGCCCTTTACTGTTGTTCGCAGCCCAAGGAGACCAGCAGTTTTAGGTCGAAATAAGAAGCAGGTGTGGGATTTGAATAAACATCATTGAGTATGGGAAGCACTGTGCTGGATCGGTAGAGGATGCAGAGGTGAATTAGAGACAGTCCTGCTTTCCACAGGTTTACAGTGCAGTGCTTCGTTTTAGGAGCTGACTGCCACAAAACATTTAGCTTATGTGAAAGAATTGGAAGGCTACTAGGGTCATTTTGGAAGGAAACTCTGATTCTGTCTTGGGCTGCGTCCTTGCCTTCCCCCTCTCCATGTTGTTGTTTATGTTTCAGTGTACCATAGAGAGCATTTTCCCGGGATTTGCAAGCCAGCACATGTTAATGAGGTCTCTGAACACAGTTGCCTTGGTTCCCATCATGTATTCCTGGTCCCCTCTCCAGCAGAACTTTATGGTATGTATTGAAAGCACTGGTAGTTGTTTAAACTCTTGCAATTTTTTATGTTGACATGCTGGTACTCCTCTTAAGATAAATATTGTCAGAGTACACTTAACAAAGCTTAGACATGCAGGGCAGAATGCTTTTGTAATTTATGTACTCTGAAAAGTAGATTGCAAGTCGTTCTAACTTGTTAGATGTGCTCTCTAAGGTTTTTCCTGCATTAGTGCTGGTTCTTTTTTGAATGAGTGAGACTGGGCAAGACTCCAGTTTTTCCTTACTACCCTGGCCCAATTTTGTAACATTCTGTGCAGTTAAATGCAGTCTAAATCAAAACACTTGAGGCTTAAGCAGGTTGACAACTCCCTGCCCATGGCTTAGTCCTTTCTGAATCCCCTAAAGGCAAGATGCTGTGAAAGCACCTGAGCTAAATGAGGTGCACAGGGATCCACAGTCCTTTCATCTGGGCCTTTGTGCTGACTCCTGCCGGGGTCATTTGTGGTCCCGATAAGCAGTCTTCTCTTCATACTGCCATTGCTTATCATCTGCCTGGCGACAGATAACATTTCTGACTAGAATGGGATATAGGTTTACAAAAGGGAATCCTCTCTTAAAATAAAAGTTCAGAGTAACTTTACTTTGATAGTTGAGGATTTGAGAATGACTATGTTCTCTGCTGAACCAAAAAATGAAAAAAATTATTAGTATTGCTTATTGCCAGAAAATATTTGTAGTTCATACTGCGATTGATTTTGACATTCCCACTAAGTATATATTTTTATTTTTATTTGATTTTCGAGGAGACAGGGCAGGGGGAATAGAAAGAAAGGGGAGAGACATGGATTTGTTGCTCCATTCGTTTTTGCATTCATTGGCTGCTGCTTGAATAGGCTGTGACTAGGGATGAACCTGCAACCTTGGTGTGCCAGGACAGCGCTCTGACCAACTGAGCCACCTGGCCAGAGCAATGGCCAGTTTTCAAAATGCGGGGAACTGTGAACACAGGCATTTGTAGGAGATTCAAGCAGCAAATAAAGCTCAGCAAAGATTTAGTTAAACAGAAAAGAGGAGCTGCATAGTGGATTCATGGAACGAATCACATCTGGTTTGATTTCAGGTAGAAGATGAAACTGTTTTGTGCAATATCCCCTACATGGGAGATGAGGTGAAAGAAGAAGATGAAACTTTCATTGAAGAGCTGATCAATAACTACGATGGGAAAGTCCACGGTGAAGAAGGTAGTGGTGCTGGGCTCTTTGGGAGAAAACTTTGTGCCTCTTCTTTGGTCCATCATCATCTTTTATCTGCTGCCTTGCAATGCGCACACTAGAGAACATTCCAGTGTAGTCACCTGGCTCAGAATAGTTTTATATTAAAAATATTCCAGTTAAATTTTAAAAGGAGTTGGGACAGAAAAGGATCATATAGTAATTGGTGACAGGAGAAAGTTACGTGTACAATTGGTTTGATTTTAGAAGTTTTTTATAAATCCATCCTAGGCCACTGATTCTTCACTTTCCATTCTCCGAGAATGGCAGTGAGCTGAACTCTGTTCTACGGCCCTGATCCCGATGTCCCCGAGGTCGATATCTCAGAAGTTGGCTATGATATCCTGCCTTTCCCAGAAGAAGGTCATTTGGATTTAGTAGTTCTGGAAAATGCTGTCATTGTGCAAGAAGTGGGGAGATGGGGAGAGACTCCCATGGATTTGCAAACCAGTAGCCTCACCTGCTCTTTTGACAATTGTGGGCGCTGATAAGATGTTGTTGAAGTGCATTTATCCTCTACGCCCCCTAGTGTTCAAAGACTTTCTCCTAAGGTGTAGTGTAACTTCATATAATACGATTTTAGAAAAAAATGCTGTCTTTTTCAAAGAAGTCACTACTGGCCAATTAGCAGCAAAATCAAGTACATTTTCATTGTATCATTCTTTTTCTGTCCCACTTATATTATTTGCACATTTCTCTGAGGTTTTGGACCATAAATACAGTGTGACCTGTGACTGTAGAAGTGAAGTAACCCAGTAAGAATAAAGCCTATAACTCAATTTCCCACTCTAGTCAGCTGAACTGTTGCAGGTGTGTGAGCCTGTCAAATTATCGAAATTCCCTCCATGTAAACATGTACACACGTCACCCAGCTGGGCCTCGGGAGCCAGTACGAGAAGACCTTCCGAGGAGGACTGATGGCAGATGAAACAACCACTGCTCCTCCATTTAATCCTTATGTTTCAGAGATGATCCCTGGGTCTGTCCTCATTAGTGATGCTGTTTTTCTGGAGTTGGTCGATGCCCTGAATCAATACTCAGATGAGGAGGAAGAGGGGCACAATGACACCTCAGATGGAAAGCAAGATGACAGCAAAGAAGATCTGCCAGTGACAAGGAAGAGGAAACGACATGCTATCGAAGGTAAACAGCACTGCTTCCTTATTATCCTTCAAAGTGACGGGGACAGGGGAGAAGGAGGAAATAGAGTCACTGCTGGTGTTGGTTCACTTAAAATGAGGACAGTGACCGCTGACTAATCACTCACGAAGCTGCAACCCAGCTGAGAAGAAGTAGAACTTAGAGTGCAGTTTCCACTTCCGTTATAAAAGTGGTGTATTTGGAAAACATGAAAAGTTACAAAGAACAGAATGAAATTACCTCGTAATCCTGCTCCCTAGGAATAAACAGCATTAAGATTTCCTTCTAGACCTAAAGAAATGTAAAATGTGTGTATATAATACTATTACACTGTTATATTTTAAATATATGTCATTTTTAAGTACATACATGTCAACCTGTTTGTGTTATGTGAATTTGGGATTGTGCCGTGTGTGCATACACACATATATAATTCTGTTTCCCTTTTTTATGTAACCTTATGAGCATTTTTCCATGTTTTTAATATTTAATTATTTCATGTTTAATTATACACATTATTTAATTATGCCGTATGTCCAGGGACATAGTGTCTCTTTTGGTAAAACTATAAGTTATAATACAATATTAGTCTTGGGGTTTTTTTTTTTTAAGATTTTATTTATTTATTTTTAGAGAGAGGGGAAAGGGGGGAGAAAGAGAGGGAGAGAAACACCGATGTGTGAGAGATACATCGATCAGTTGCCTATCACATGCCTCCAAGTGGGGATCTGGCCTGCAGCCTAGGCATGTGCCCTGGAAGGGAATTGAACCAGTGACCTTTCACTTTGCAGGCCAGCACTCTATCCACTGAGCCACAAGAGCCAGGGCCAGTCTTGTTTTATCAGCATCAACATTATGATTGGATTCTGGTATATTCAGGTCTCCATAAAAACTGTGGTTTTCATCTCCAGCATCTATCTAAGGCAGTGAATTTTGTTAATGTATAAATGACTCTGATTTCTTTATTTACTGGTAGCCTATCAGATAAGTCCAGGTAGCCTTGACTTTCTTTAAAGGCTATTTCTAAACAGCCAGTGGTTAGATTTACAAACCAGCTCTAATCAAAATGCTGTGATAAAAGGAAAAATCATCAAATAGTCTCATTTGCATATTCTAATTATAGATAGCACTCAGGAGCTTTTTGTCTTTTTTAATCCAGGCAACAAAAAGAGTTCCAAGAAACAGTTCCCAAATGACATGATCTTCAGTGCAATTGCTTCAATGTTCCCTGAGAATGGTGTCCCAGATGACATGAAGGAGAGGTAGGGAAAGCTGTCCCTTCAGGCCATGTAGAGTGAGCGGGCAAAATTTTTATTCAGGCCTGCACTTTGGTTAGTAGGAAGCCTTATTTATGGTAAGTGCATGAGGATTTGCCCACACTTCTGATTATTACTTGGCTTACCCTGAAATACCCATTTCCACATTAAGGGTCCCTGGATTTCGAGTAAGTCTGGGCAGAGAGCTTTTATAATTCTGCCATTTTTCTGGAGAGTGACCCCAGCACCATCCTTATCAGATCTTCCCCTCCCCTACTTTCAGACATATGCCCACCCGTCATACCAACTTCATTGTACACCATTTGTACAATGTCCCTCCTACGAATTCCCACGCTCTCTTGGCTGACTGCACCTGGATGACTCTCAGCACCCAATCTGTGTTTGCCCAGTGGAGACAGTGTCTTGGAAGGAACTCTTACCTCTCTTTTCTTAAATAGGTATCGGGAGCTAACAGAGATGTCCGACCCCAATGCACTGCCCCCTCAGTGCACGCCCAACATCGATGGCCCCAATGCCAAGTCCGTGCAGCGGGAGCAATCACTGCACTCCTTCCACACACTTTTTTGCCGGCGCTGCTTCAAATACGACTGCTTCCTTCACCGTGAGTAGGCTGCTCTGAAATGCTCTCCTGTTTTCCCTTCCTAGTCACTATTTCCTTCTCTTTATTTTAGTTTGTCATACGGAGTTCTTGGCTTCCACTCTGAAGGTGGCTTGACTTAGGACCACTCTGTGTTTACATGTTGAGTTGTAGTGCAGTGCGCTTTGCAGGGTCAGGACAGAATAATCATTGATGTCATTGTTTCCTAATGCTTCCTAGCTTGAAAGGGTTGTGTTGGTACTGGAAGTGATTAAATTCTGTGCACCTTGATGGCAGCTGTTTATATCCAAATCCTCCCACACTGGCTCCCTAACGCGATTCTGTTCCTCCCTCTCCTGCCAAGTGGAGCAAACCACTGGAGACAGGACACTGTTGTGTTTTCCAGCTTTCCACGCCACCCCTAATGTGTATAAACGCAAGAACAAAGAGATCAAGATTGAACCAGAGCCATGCGGCACGGACTGCTTCCTTCTGCTGGTACGTCGTTCTGAAGCCGTTCTACCCTTGTTAACTCTTCGAGCAGGAAGTGCTCCTTGGGCTTTCTGCCCCTGGGAACACAAACCGAGTGAGGCAGTACATAGCACTTGGGGGTCGTAGAGTACAAATAAAACGGGACCTCAGCTCTGAAGGCGCTCCCAGATACGGAGGCAGTGGGGCCTCGGAGTTGGTCTTACGGGGTGAGGTTTGAAGAGCACTGATGGCTTTCCTGCCCCAGGTTATCATGTATGCAGACTTCAGAGCCTGAAGCTGTATTGTCTGAATTGAGCTGTGTGTTTATGTTTAACTTACAGAAATGTATATGCACACGTTCTATTTTACTACTTTTAGAAGTCAGTGCATATTCAAATGCTGGACTGTTTTCCCCTAAACTTTTTTTTTTTTTAAGATTTTGTTTATCTTTAGAGAGGAAGGGAAGGAGAGAAGGAGAGAAACATCAATGTGTGTGGTTGCCTCTCATGAGTCCCCTGCTAGTAACTGGCCTGCAACCCAGGCATGTGCCCCGACTGGGAATTGAACCGCGATCGTGTGGTTCACAGGCCCGCACTGAATCCACTGAGCTATGCCAGCCAGGGCTTCCCTAAACTTTTTATTAAGAAAATTTTCAGTTATGCAAAGAAATTGGAAGATACCTGTGTCCTCAATTTAATAGCTTTTTTCATATTGACTTTATTTCTATATTTGCGTGTATGTATTTTGTGCTGAGCCATTTGAAAATAAGTGCAGACATTGTGATGCTTGTTTGCTAAGTATTTCAGCAAGCATCTCCAAAAAATAAGGCATTCTCTTGGATATCACAGCTAAGAAAATTAACAAGAATTCCATAGCATCATCTATCTGTTACATATTCAGATTTTTTAGTGGAACCAGGAATAGCTGGTATCTTTTCAATCAAAGATCATACAGTCCATACATCATATTTGGTTATTGTATCTTCTCAACCTCTTTTATTATTTTAAATCTATTTATTGATTTGAGAGAGAAACATCAATTTGTTGTTCCATTGATTTATGCATTCACTGGTTGCCTCTTGGTCGTGCCCTGCCTGGGAATTGAACCTGGAACCCTGGTGTATTGGGATGATGCTCCAAGCAACTGAGGTACCGTACCTACCAGAGTTTCTCAGTCTTTTTTAATCTTAGATGATCACACCTTTCTTTCTTTTCTTTTGAAAAGTTAGGCTGGTTGTCTTGTAGGATGTCCCGTATTCTGGATCTGTCTGTCATTTCCTTCTGGTGCTATTTAACTTTTTACTCTGCCCCCTGTTTCCCATAAAGCTAGAATTAGCTTGGGAGGCTTCATTATACTCACGTTAAATATTTTGAGGAAAAATATAAGTGATACTGTGCATGTCACATCTTAGCATAGGTACATAATGCCAGATTCACTTAATTCAGAACTTTTCTTTTGAGCCCTGCCTGGTGTGGCTCAGTGGATTGAGCCATGGCCTGCAAACCAAAGGGTCGCAGGTTCAGTTCCCAGTCAGGGCACATGCCTGGGTTGTCGGCCAGGTCCCCAGTAGGGGATGTGTGAGAAGCAACCACGCATTAAAAAAAAGACACTTTTGGAATTGCCATTGATATCCTTATTAATGGTAAATCTTCATCCTTTACATGTAGATTTAGTTTTCAGAAACAGCTATAAGTCTTTGGGAACCAAGTGGGGTAAGAAGATAGATAATGAAGCTGAATGATAGTTATTTGGTCTTTAAAAAACGAGAAAAGAGCCCTGGCTGGTGTAGCTCAGTGAATTGGCTGCGGGCTGGGAACCAGGGGGTTGCGAGTTCTATTCCCAGTCGGGGCACATGCCTGGGTTGCAGGGCCGGGTCCCCAGTGGGGGCCACATGAGAGGCAACCACACATTGATGTTTCTGTCTTTCTCCCTCCCTTCTCCTCTGCCTAAAAATAAGTAAATAAAATCTTTAAAAAGAGAGAGAGAAGAGAAAAGCAAACCTGAAAAGCAAACCTGGCTGGTGTGACTCAGTTGTTTGGAGCATCATCCCATAACCAAAAGGTTGCAGGTTCAATTCCCAGTCAGGACGAATCCCTAGGTAATGGGTCCGATGCCCAGTCTGGGCTCGTATGGGAAGCAACCGTTTGATATTTCTCTCTCACGTGGATGTTTCTCTCTCTTCCTCCCTTTCTCTCTAAAAGTAATGAAATATATATCTTTGGGTGAGGATTAAAAAAACATAGCTATAAAATAGTGAAAATTATTCTTCCAAGTTTGATACACTGATTTAAAAGGAAGTTCCAAAATTAAGTAGTAATATTATACAAATTCAGCAATTACACGTTTTGTTGAAACAGAGGCAAGGCAGTAGAGTGTAAAGAGCAGTGTGGCTCCTGGTCCCCACGCTGGAAAAATGAGCTATATACCCTCCAGCAGGTTCCTCCCCCTTCCCCACCTCATTACCTCATCTACAGCAGAACGTGTTCTCAAATTTCGAACAATTAATATGCAAATGAATTTTAGATACAGCTCACTGGAAAGTGGAAGATGCATAGATTATATCTTTTTAAGATCACTTTGTAGGGCAGCTCTTTCACAAAGAGGTGGAAGTTACTAAGTTTTAGGGTGTTTGCTGAGCGGCTGTTATGTGGTCACACTTATCTGGGACAGCAAACAAACTAGAAAGACAGTGTTGCCGCACGTGAGCACAGGGGTTGATGAAGATGTTTCTTGGCGGTGGGATAGACACGGCGACTGGGCCCATTCAGGTTTTCTGTCTCCAACCCGTCTGCCGCAGGAAGGCGCAAAGGAATACGCCATGCTGCACAACCCTCGCTCCAAGTGCTCTGGCCGTCGCCGGCGAAGGCACCACATGGTCAGCGCTTCCTGCTCCAACACTTCAGCCTCTGCTGTGGCGGAGACTAAAGAAGGGGACAGTGACAGGGACACGGGCAATGACTGGGCCTCCAGCTCCTCAGGTACTGTGAGCAGAGAATGATCTCTTCTTCCCACCCAAGGACTTGGATGAACCCGGGATCACCTCCAAACACTTACCATTACTATGTTTTATAAAATTGCTAATTTTTCCACAACTTTACCTATAAGCATTGGATACAGGGAATATTATTTTTGTTCCTAACTGTGCTGCTTTTAAGTAATGTACTTCTGAGTTTGTGGCCAAGTCCCGATGACAGCTGCAGCGCACCTTCTTCGTTTCTCTTACTCCTTCCTGTCTTAGAGGCCAACTCTCGCTGCCAGACGCCCACAAAACAGAAGGCGAGTCCGGCCCCACCCCAGCTCTGTGTGGTGGAAGCGCCCTCGGAGCCTGTGGAGTGGACTGGGGCTGAAGAGTCTCTTTTTCGTGTCTTTCATGGCACCTACTTCAACAACTTCTGTTCCATAGCGAGGCTCCTGGGGACTAAGACGTGCAAGCAGGTACTGTCTGAAAGTGGCCGGAGTGAGATGGGCCCTCCTTTCGTGCACCACTCTGTCAGCCCTTGCTGTCTCGTGGGCCCGCCTGTCTGGGCAAAGCTCTCGGGCTCAGCCCTCGTGAGCCTGTGCTGCTAGGCCATGAAGTGAGTCTCCAGACACGGCCCCCCTCGGAGGCCGGGCCTAGCAGTGCTTGGGGACCTGCCATCCTCCTTGCTGGCTTTTCATTTCTATCTTTAACCACCATTTAATTCTTCTGAATGTTTCAGCACACTTTTAGCTTCTTCTTTTGGTTCCTGCTTTTTCTTCTAAATGTGTATCGGTTTTCTAGAAGAGACCCCGGGTCTTTCTGGGGATGTTCTTACCTAGTGTACTCCTACTCCTTAGCCGCAGCTGCTGCGCCCTCCATCAGCCTCCTCATTGCTTTATCTACAGCTGTCTTACCACGGGGTTTTCTGATCACCACCCCCAAAGCCAGGCCTAGATCTCACCCCGCTCACTCATACTGTCACCAGAGTCACGGCTTGACAGTAGCCACTGATGCTCCGCAGTCAGGACAAGAATGCCGGAGAGATACTAACTAGAACAGGGACCGTGAATCAGGTGACCAAGCCAGTCTGTCCACAAAGAAAGGAGCACCAGGGCTTGAGCCCTGCCCACAGAGCTCCCTAATTTCTGGAGGAGTCTCTGTGGCCTCATCTTCCTGCTCCCTTTACTTAGAAAGAGCAGTAGAGCCGTGAGTCGAAGTGCCCACTGCTCTCATTGCGGAGCTTAGACCTGTTTCCCTGAGACACAGGTTCTTAACCTAAAGTTCTATCAAAGTGGGTGCCAAACAGTTTTCATGCATATTTCCTAAGAAGAAGATTTATACTTTTCATAGAATCTCAAAAGGGCCTGTAACCAAAAAGGAGGTGGTGTGGGTGGGAAAGAGCTACAAATGAATGCTGTAAAGGAAGAAGCACAATGAAAGGGAACCCGCCTTCTCCTAGTCAAGGCTCTGACATCTTTATACCAGCAGAGGGAGCTAGTACTGGTAGACGAGGGGGGCTCAAAAAAACCCTGAATTATAGATAAAAGATTGTCTACTTATTCTTACATGTTTAAACTTCTGTCACCTTCAAAGTACTCTCCATTTAATGCAACACACCTGTTGAGCCTTTTTTCCACTGCTCAAAAGTTTTTGAACTTCTTGATTTTGATGGTTTTTAGTGTTTCTGCCATTTTTAATTTCACCTCTTAACACACTGGCAAAATGTTTCCCTTTGAGGGTTTTTTTCATACAAGGAAACAAAAAAAAAGGTTGCTTGGGGCAAGATCGGGTGAATAGGGAGGGTGGAGCCCGGGGGTCATGCAGTTGTTAGTCAAAAACTGCTGAACACTCAGCACAGCGTGGGCAGGTGCACTCATAAATTGCCCATTATGAAATGGGCAAATGTGTTGAAAGAGTCTTCAAAAAAACCTCACCAAAGCTGAACTCAGCCTTTCACAACAACGCCAGCTGCCACACTGGTGCAGATGGGTTCCTAGAACACTCAGCCAGGGAGTCCCATACTATAAGGGGCCTGCCCTTTAGAAGATAATTCCGATCTTTGGGGGTCTCCCATCGCGTGTCAGGTCTTACATTCACCATACAAGGTACACAAAGTTGCCCTTCGTAAGGGTACTGTTGTTAAGCCCATATGCAGGGCTTTGTAGGTAGAGCAATAGGTGAAAGCTACTAACCACAAAAGCTGTTAACTGTGTTCAATATCTCCCCTTTCTCAAGTCAAGATAAATTCATGAGAACTTCAGAGCTGTTGTCACCCTGACTCTCTCTGACTATAGAGATGCTCAGTCAGCTTCCTGGAGCTCTCTAGCACCCTCCTAAACCCCTCCCCTGGCTGGATCACTTACGTGACCACCTAGCTCAAGAAGGAGTGACAGGCCCTGTTGGATTTCTTTTCCAGGTCTTTCAGTTTGCAGTCAAAGAATCACTTATCCTGAAGCTGCCAACAGATGAGCTCATGAACCCCTCTCAGAAGAAGAAAAGAAAGCACAGGCAAGGGTGGGACAAAGGACTTTCTGTGGACAAGCTGTTCCTGGGCTCTGCCCTCCCCTCAGACTTCCCATCTGCCTCCCTCTTTAGCCGCTGCCCATCCGTTTGGCATTGCACAACCGAGGGCCAGTCTGCTCAGCATTCCCTGTGGGTCTCTGCCTCGGGCCAGCCTTTCACCCAGCCCTGGATGCTGAGAGTCATGAGATAACTGTTTGGTTTTCTCTTAATCTGGCCAGTGGGAGGAGATCTAGCCTCACTGCTCCACCGTGAGGCCATTTTCCTCGTTTGGTGATTAGTTCACCACAGTGCCCACTTCTCGGCCCTGACCAGAGTTGTTTCGGCTTGTTGTTGGCACCTGTATTGTTTATCTAAGTTGCACAATAACACCATCTAGGTAGCCTTTGCGTAGGGGTCGAAGTTGTTTGTTGTTTTTTTAAATTGACTTTCTGCTTGGCTTGGTTCCCTAGTGACTATCACCTACTGAAGGAAGGAACTAACACCGATTCCAGATACAGGAGGAATCCCCATGGCTGCTCCCTTTCAGTTTCTTCACTCAGAGCATATTCCCAAAAAGCCTTCTTACCTCCCCATCTTGAAACTCCCCCCACATTTTCCTCTCCCCAAAGGCCAAGGAGAGGGAGAAACAATAGTATTATAATAGACTAGAGGGTTTTTGTCTCTTGTTTTATGTATGTTTCTTTGTTAAGGGTGGGGACTGTTGTTTATGTTTAAGTCTAGAGGCATAGTCCAGCAGCATTTGGGATGGATTGGACTCTGGCCTCTCTGTGCCAGAACAGAGGCCTCCCGTGCAGGGACTGGGAAGGACACTCTTCAGCTACCAAAGCACAGTCCCTCAGAGTAGGTCACATTGTCCTCTACTTGAATCTGCAGAGTCCCTCAGGACCATGACCCCAACCTGCCCTGTCTCTCTCTTTCAGGCTGTGGGCTGCACACTGCAGGAAAATCCAGCTGAAGAAAGGTAGGTCCCACCATGGCCTTCTGCAGTTCAGCTTGGGTCTCACCGTTGTGGCCCTCCACCGGCCTGCAGCTGCACTTGTTGGCCATCTACCACGTCTGCAGGTTGCAGCTTTTCTGCAGCAGCTGAGAACAGCTCAGCTTCTCACTGCAGCTGCAAAGATCTCTTAGGAGGTAGAGTTAGGGGCTTTGTGGCCTCTGACCTTCATAGTATGCCATTTTCCAGTGTAGACTTCATTCAGTGCTCAAAGAGCTGCCCTATAATCCCAGACTGTTTCCACACTTTCCCCACAAAACGAATCACCCCATCATAGCTTATGAACAACCATCATCTAGGGTTGCCTGTCATTTCAGGCACTAAATGTGTGTCCAATGGCACTCTGAATCAGCGCCATTGGACACCTGGGAGGGAGGGCAGTCAGGGAGCGTGGCCACTGCAGTGTCCTCGTCTGTTCTCTTCTCTCCTAGATAACTCTTCCACCCAGGTGTACAACTACCAGCCCTGCGACCACCCAGACCGCCCCTGTGACAGCACCTGCCCCTGCATCATGACCCAGAATTTCTGTGAGAAGTTCTGCCAGTGCAACCCAGACTGTAAGGGCCCTTCCGTTTCCCCATGTCTGGCAAACGGCACCCTCGGTGCCGCTCAGGTTGCCCAACCTCCTGTGCCTTTTGCTGCTTACGGGGTCTTCTGATATCTGTTTGCTGTGCTTCTGATATTCTACAAGAGACTGAAGATCTGGAAATGTCATTTTTTTTTTTAAACCCTTACCTCTGTGGTTCTAAAAACAGCAATTACACAGAAATCAGACGCTTTCCCAACTTCACCTTCCAGGGCAGAATTAAGAAACATGAGGATCTTTTTTCTTATGGAGCAGTCACAGCCTCCCTTTCCAGAATGTTTTATAACATACACAGGTTACAGTTCTGCCTGTGTCCAGTTTAGTTTAATATCTGGAGTTTTAATATCAGGCTGGTCTGGTTGTTAGCAAACGGTAGGATGGAGGCTAAAAGCGCTTCTCTCACTTCTCATCCCACCATGCCCTTCCCCCTCAAAGCAGTGTGCTGGCAGCCCTTGCAGAACTCAGTGCCCAGGCAGCTGTGCTGGAAATGCCTCCAGCCCATGCCAGATACCAGTCTTAACCACAGAAGAGGGGCGCTCGGACTGGGGGGCAGGGGTGCAGGAGGGTGGCACAGAACGGATGCACTCGGCTCTCAGAATGACTTGTTTTGATGTTGAGTGTTTCCCAGTGAAAAACACTGATTTCATCTTCTTTGGGGTACTACCCACCTCCCTTCCAAACCCCACCCCCAAGGAGGAGGGAGAGCGTTGTTGGGGGATCTCAGGGAACTACATGTCCACAGTGAAACCTTTTTTAAAAAAATTTTTTAAAGATTTTATTTATTTATCTTTTAGAGGGGAAAGGAAGGAGAGAGGGAGAGAAATATCAATGTATGGTTGCCTCTCGTGCGTTCCCTGCTGGGAACTGGCCTGCAACCCAGGCATGTACCCTGCCTGACTGGGAATTGAACTGCGATCCTTTGGTTCACAGGCCCGTGCTCAATCCACTGAGCTACACCAGCCAGGGCTAAACCTGCTGTTTGATTCTCAGGCATGAATGTTGGATAGTGCTCCGTTTTCATTGGGAAAAAAATTGAGTGTATGGTTATTGGGCAGGGAACTTCTCTCCTATTTTACCAAATATCCTTGAACACGTCATATTGACTTCTCTGCTGTCCCTGAGTCAGACCTGACCAGCACTAGCCAGCTCTTCCCCCAACCTTACCTGCTGCCCCGCCCAGGTCAGAACCGTTTTCCTGGCTGCCGCTGTAAGACCCAGTGCAACACCAAGCAGTGCCCTTGCTACCTGGCCGTGCGGGAGTGTGACCCCGACCTGTGTCTCACCTGTGGGGCCTCCGAACACTGGGACTGCAAAGTGGTTTCCTGTAAAAACTGCAGCATCCAGAGGGGCCTCAAGAAGGTGAGGGCTTTTCTCAGGATTCTGGGCTGGGCGATGCAGCGGGAAGGGCTGGCCGGACCCCAGCAGCCTGTTTCTACCGATTCCTTAGAGGGTTTGTACGTGCAGGTGCTTGCTAAGTCCTGAAAGACACACGTTTACTGAATTAATAAAGTTTCTCTCCCAGCGGTGGGTTAGAAAAGTGACACCTTGAACTGGCCAAATGGAAAGGAGCAGAGAGGATGGACTGGTCATTGATGTCCATTTTTACTGGACACGTAGCAGTGAATTCCCGTAGACTCAGGTTCAGAAAGGCCCAGGTCTAGAGGAAGAGGGTCACGTTCTATTTCCCTCCCACCAGAATAGGGTGGCCGAGGTCTTTTTCTGTTTTCAGATCCTGTTACAGTTGCTAGCTCTTTCCACCTTGCCCCCCCCCACTGTCCACATGCACACCTCACAGATACCCCTCGTCACCCACACCCTAGTCTGAGGTTTGTCTCTCTTCCCCAGCACCTGCTGCTGGCCCCCTCGGATGTGGCCGGATGGGGCACCTTCATTAAGGAGTCTGTGCAGAAGAATGAGTTCATTTCTGAATACTGTGGGGAGGTGAGTGCTATCGGTTTGGCCCACACTCTTATGTGGGGAGGTGCTGTTGAGAAACCCTGATTTTCTGTGGTCCAGACTTCTGTGAATTAGTCTCTAAATAACTCAGTGAGTTCTCATATGGCCTCTTGCGGGATCCCACGGAACAGTTTGCAGTCCTTAAACAAACCACTCTTCTTCATCTCTTTGGCAGCTCAGGCCATACAAGAGGGGCAGGCGGGGAGGGAGGGAGGATGGCTCTTTTCAGCCTCCACACTGGCCAGCCTAGGTAGGGATTGAAACGAAACACCCCGAGCTCAGTATGTTGCAATTTGCCTCATGACACTCAGTATGTGACACCACCACCACTCCCGACTGCTGTCTGTGGACAGGGCTCCGTGCTCTGAGCAGACAGCCTGACACCCCCCCCCCCGCCATCTGATCCTTTTCTGTCTCTGCAGCTCATCTCTCAGGATGAGGCTGATCGACGAGGGAAGGTCTATGACAAGTACATGTCCAGCTTCCTCTTCAACCTCAACAATGGTACGGAGTCCCCCTCATCCCAAGGTGGTCTTGAGCAGGTCCTCCTACCAGATGTGCCTTGTCATGGTCCAGGTTCAGGTCAGCTCTGAATCTTCCAACAGATGCACAGAGCAAGGTGGTGAGATTGAACTCAGAGACACCATGCGCCACAGTTCACTTGCTTTGGGAGAACTTCCATCTCCAGGTTGTGTTTGTAATCGGAGCACTGAGCACTCACACCTCAGAAATCTCCCCTCCCAGATGAGGGCAGGAGCTCCACAATTCCAGCAGGGGGGGCCCACGGGGAGTACTCCCGCATGAAGCTGCATTCTTTTTTGTTTTTTCTTTTAAGCTGCATTCTCATGCTGCCTGCTTTCCCAGCTCCTACTAGTACACTGGGCTTCAGAATCCCACTGGATTGTCTTGTTTTCGTTACTGTGTGATTGATTTTAAGTTCAGGCTCAAGAAGCTATGGACTGGCCTGGCGAGCTCACAGTCTTCCTCGGTTTACTTTACACAGATTTCGTAGTGGATGCAACCCGGAAAGGAAACAAAATTCGATTTGCAAACCATTCAGTGAACCCCAATTGTTATGCCAAAGGTGAGTTCCCAGTGGCGTGGGAGGTGGGCTGGGGAATGTATGCTTCATTTTCTATGATTTCTATCCATTATTTACTCGTTTTAGCTGAGTTACTTTTTGTCCAGAGATAATCATGATTAATGTCTGATACCATTTTGAGCCCCCATCTCTCAGTTTTATAATGTCTTTTTTTTTTCAGTGAAGACATTATAAACATTTCTGCCAAAACACAAACCTTTTAAAGATAATTCTTTCCCCATGTCAGTTGTGAGAAAAAGAGATCTAAAATCATACAGGCAACTTCACTGACTACTTTCTAACTCCACTTCATTTATGTTTTCACTGGGAATTGGGAGAAAATTCATCCAGAGCCAGACTGATTATTGGTTTGGGGTGGACTAGGAACCTAGCCCTGGGTCTATCCTATTTGCAGTGGTCATGGTGAATGGGGACCATCGGATTGGGATCTTTGCCAAGAGGGCAATTCAAGCTGGCGAAGAGCTCTTCTTTGATTACAGGTGAGGCAGCCAGGACTGGTTCTACAGAGGTGGCCCTAGAGGTGGAAAGGGTGGCTGCTGGAATTGATTGGGAGGCTTAAGTGGGTGATACGGAAGAAGGAGAGGGTCTTTTGGTGGTCAGGGCCTTTTCTTGGTTCTGATCCCGGTGCCTTGTCTCAGAAGGGGAAGCATTGCTAACTGCTGTTAAGAAGTGGGAGGGGAAGTGAAACGGGAGGGGACTCCATCTTTTTAATCACAAAAGCCTTGATGGTAATCTCATTCCTCCTCCTGCTCTGGGACAGGTACAGCCAAGCTGATGCCCTCAAATACGTGGGGATCGAGAGGGAGACTGATGTCCTTTAGCCCTCCTGGGCCCTGCGCCTGCGCTTATGGTAGCAGCACTGTCTTTGCTTTCCTGCACACACCACCACCCCTCGACTTCCTGTGCTCTGTCTCCCATGCTGAGAAAACCCCCCACCCACTCCCTCTGTAGTGAGGCCTCACCCGTGTCGGCGGGAACCACACTGTCTCAGTGAGAGGGGAGACAGAGGCATCTCAGGCTGGGGCTCCTGGGAAGGAGCGTTGCGGGCAACGGAGGCTGCTGCTCGGTCCCCAGAGGAAGAGAGCACAGGCTCGGGGTGGGTGATGTATGCTTGACTGATTTCTCGTCACCCAGGCTGCAGGCCTCCGAATCAACTCAGGCAGTTCCTAACAAGCATCAGCCTATAATTCTAACTTCCTGAATCAAGGGTCCTTAGATAATTGGGTTGCCAGCCTCTCTCTTGGGTCCTAAGACCCAGAGAGGACAGGATAAGTGAAGTTTAGTACCTGGAGCTTATGAGTGGTCTGGGTTAAAGAAGGGCCTGGCAGGCAGTGCAGACGAGATTCAGTGGGGAGATGGGTCACCTCACCACCTCTTCCTTCCTGGCAGGGTTCAAACTGTTAGGGTGGGTTCTGAGCATAGACATTCAGTGCTGGGAAAAGAGAAGCTAAGGGCCATCCTTCCATGGACAGAGTGGGCATCAGCCTGATGATAGCAGGCAAACTGCTGAGCTTGGGGCCCAGCAGGCTTTGAGGGACCTCTGTGTATCCTGGAGGATGTGTTTCTGATGCCCCGCAACAAGAGCCAGTGCCTGGTTAGCTCCTCCTAACATTCTAGCTTAGCAACTGCAGGCAGGCATCGCTGCTACCGAAGAAGCATGAAGGGTGTGTCAGGCTGGGTGTGAGTCTCCTATTCCCTGGATCTGTAGTTGTTTCCAGGCCTTCCACTGGCCTTAGAGGCCAGGCCCGCGGAGCCACTGTTACTTATCTCTTCCTGGTAGATGGGTGCAGGCCTGGACTAGGGGGAAGACAATTGGTGTGACTGACTTTCCTGTCTGTAGCACCTGCTCTTGGAAAGGGTGGGTTGACAGTGTGTGTTTGGAGGTGGGCGAGGGGCTCCCACATTGTGTGTGTTTAGTTAGGATGGCATCCTGTGTGTGCACTGCGGACTGGCAGGGGGTATTTGCAGTGTCGAGAAGACTACCCGGGCCATTCTGTGGTGCCGTTCTCTCTGGGATTCATGCAGAGCAAAGCACTTTATTTCTTTTAGAAGATCTGTAGATTGGGGTAGAGTTTGAGCCAAGGTTTCTGAGGTCCTTGCCCAAATCCCATTCCTGAGAGAGGGGAGGGAGAGAGGTGGAAGATTTCCCTCCAGCTCTGTCTCTTTGCCTGGCGGAGGTGGGAGGTGCTGCCTTCACACAGAACTCAGTGAGAAGAGGCCAGCACTAAGAGCTGCCCTGTGTCTATGGCTGCTTGTGCTGAGCTGGCAGGGAATAAGGGGTGTTGTGCTGGGCAAAAAGGACATGGGCAGGCGTAGACTGGCCTGAAGAGGGTCAGAATGGGGAGCAGGCTTCCCCCTGCTCTCTGGGAAAGCAGAGCTGTTCTTTCCCCGTCTGTACTGATCACGCCCTTCCTCCAGCCCCTCCAGGCACTTAATAGCAGCAGCACCCACCACAACCCTGAAATGAACTTCTGCTGCAGTTTGTGTTGGTCGTGTTGGGGGGACACCTTCCAGCTGAACTGTGGGCTCTGAACTACTCATAAATTATAGGGAAAACCAGAGACAGTTGAAGGAGGAGTTAAATCTGTCTGAAATGCCAGGCACTGGCCATGAGGAATAAGTAGGTGGAGAAAACTTACCTGTAGCCTTCGAGAGGCTGGACTGACCCTGCTCTGCCCTCAGTGTGTAGTGTCACCGTGGGCCGACCCTCTGTCCCTGGTGTGTCAGGCCACTGATGCTCCTGTCTCTCCAGCATTGCCATCTTTCCTTGCTGGCCCCCACCTTCCATGACGGGTGCCAACCCCTGCCCCTGGACCAGTAACGATGAATGGAGCAAGGTGGTGGGGGTGGGGGAGGCTGGTATATATGTGCGGCTTTATTGCCGGTGAATTTCACGCACTTTAAAGTCCTGTGGCTTGTGACCTCTTATATGAATAAAGTGGCAGAATCCATTTGGGCACATTGTGTACTGTCTGCTTTGGGGCTGGAAGGAGCCAGGGTTGGTGGTACAGGGGCAGCTCAGGCTGAAGCCTTAGCATTCTGATCCCCACTTTTCTGCTGAGATCTGGTGCTGGGGAGGGAAGGGCATTGGTGAGAACCAGGCAGGCTCCTGGTAGGTCACACAAGGACTCCGAGGGCTCCCCTCAGAGATTTCCAGTCCCTCAGATTAGTTTCCTTAAAACCATCGCACTACCCACCACCCCACCCAACCAGGACACCAGCCACCACACACCGACTGGGGCTCTGCCACTCTGCTTTATTGGAATGGTGCCAAGTCCGAGAGCACAGCTTCAGAATAGACGCCGGGTCAGACCGGCTGAGGGACCGGCTGGCCACACAGCATCTCCAGCACAGGAGAAGTGAACTGCAGACCGTGGCCCCAGCACAGGACAGGACAAATCGATTGATTTTTTTCCTTTTATATAGAAACATAATTTAAAAATTAGAGTGATATATAGTGGTTCTCTAGAGAGAAACTTGGCAACAAAAAATATATATATAAAGAATATGACCTCCTGGGCAAAGGAAGCAGCTTCTCTGAGCGGAGGAAAGAGGGCTCCTCATGCATTGGAGGGGGAGCCGAGCCTTTGGACAGGCGGCAAGCCTATTGCATACCTTGGAGGGAGGAAGAGTAAAGGGCTGGCTAGTCGGTGTGTCTGCATGATTTTTTTTCTATGTTGCAAGTTTTATGGCTTTGGCTAAAGCATGTGAAGCAGCGGAGGTACTAAAGTGCTAAGCTGAGGCCTCTCAGTCTTTGTAAAAAACAAAAGAGAAGGAGAGCCGGGGCCAGTGGTGAAGCCCTCCCTAACCCCCAATGGAGTGGACACAGGTGGAAGACATTCTGTAGGGCAGGGTTAGACTGGGGGATATGATTCAGCCACCTCCTCCCCCATACCTTGTGCATCCCTACAACCCCACACATCTGTCCCTGCTGAGATTGAATGTTTGAAGAGAGACAGTTAATCTCTTCTGCACTCTGTTAATCCCTGGCAGCAGCTGGGACAGGGATGGCAGGAAGGACCTGTCTTAACCCCATGAGGCTTCTCCTTTGTGGCAGAAAAACAATCAGGAGCCTGGAAAAATGGAAATGGGCAAGGCATTGGTTTAGGCAGTGAGGCTTGGCCACTCCCTTTGGTCCCATCTGTAGCTCTGCCCACCAAATTTGGCAGGAAGGGCATCCTCTATATGAGTAGGACCAGCTAAGAGGAGCCAAATGTCCCTGACAGGGTTGGGTGGAGACAGGTACTGGGGGATTCGAGAAAATGGACTTGGTCCCTGAAGCCCTTCTGATTCACTCAGACCTGGACTCCTCCAAGATCTGGGGTAGGTTTTGGTCCCGGGGACCTGGGGCTAGGCCTGGGGCTGGACCTGGGCCTGGGGCTGGACCTGGGGCTGGGCCTGGGCCTGGGGCTGGGGCTGGGCCTGGGGCTGGGGCTGGGCCTGGAGGTGGAACTTGGGTGGAAGCTGGTGTAGGGGCTGTGGCGGGGGCAGAGCCTGAAGTAGGTAGGGGAGGTTTGCTGCCAGGGTAGTCGTGGGTGGCCTTGGGTTCATTGGTGTGGTAGGAACCCTTGTAGCGATGATGTTGCAGATAGAAGAGCACCAACATTCCCACCAGTCCCAGCAGCAGGAAGGCTACCAAAACTGAAGGGGGAAAAAATTCAGGGCAGATCTTAGGGATTTCACCTACACATAGACGCGCATATATCCTTCTGACTAAAGCAGACGTGTGCAACAGTGTCCGCTCTACAACCCATCAGGCTTCCCTAAGTGTCTGCTAGGTCTGAACCCTGGCTTATCCCCTGCTGTCTTCTATTTTTAATATTCTCTTCGTGTCCCTGGTAGTTACTGCAGTTTCTTCTCTCTCTGGATGTTACTATATCCCCATTTCCTCATTCCTTACCCATAGCCGCACCTTAATAATTCAGTTAAAAGTGTAGCATCCTCAAGCACTTAAAAATCTCTAGCTCAGTTACGTGCCACCTTCATTCAGCATTGCCTGTCTCATCCTTCTTTGCACCACTGTGCACCTGGTGCCTTCGCCACCCCTCAGCCCTGGACACATGGGGCGGGAAGGGGGTGCTGACGGTCAGAGGGTGGAGTCAGGAGGTCTGGGTGGGGATCGCACTACTCACATCCTAAAAGTATGGCGACCCATCCTTCATCATGGTAGTATGGGAAGTCTGAAGAGGAGAAAGCACTCGTTAGGAGAAGCCTCCCTCCTTGTGTGGTAAAAACCACTCTCTTTCCCCGTCACCCCTCTTCTGTGTTGTGGGGACATACCTGGGGGCAGGTACCAGGGGTCCAGCTCAGGTGGCACCTCTGCGACAAGGCGTGGCATGGCCCCACAGTTAGATTCAGACAGGTCCCCCTGAACTCGAAGGGCCTCGGCTAGCTCTGCGGTCACGGGTCGAGGGGTCCGAAAGTGGGCCTTGAGGGGAGCCACATTGTTGAATCGAACACCAGACAGGCAGCCTGAGAAACCTGGGGTGTTGTAGCGCTGGATCTCCGGGTCAATTACTCCCGTCTCTGGGGGAGAGAGATGAGTCTTGGACCACCAGTAGCCCTGTCCCCTCCCACCAACTGTAGGTACCCACTTGTCACCACCTGCACTGCGAGTCCCAGTTCCTCCACTCTATTCTAGGCTCCAGGGACTTTGCCCACAATTTCTTACCCCAAACGCACTGTCACCCACAGCTTACCCATGACACGGCCTAGATACAAGGCCTTAGGTGAGTCCAGCTGGCTGTCCACCAACAGGGAGAATTTCTGCTCTGTCAGTGGGAAGTAGTCCACCTGAGGCGGGGCGGGGGAAGGAAATGAGGGGGGAGAACCAGAGGCAGACGCAGCCACGATCGTGCAGGAACTCGGCTCGAATTCTGTCCTCGGTGGTGTAAGTCCTGGCTCTGTCCTCGGTGGGCGACCCCTGGGCCCAGGTACAGGATTGGGTGTGGAAAACCCAACAGCCTGGTTTGGAGCCTTGTTTTTGCAGCTGCTGAGTGGTTTGACTTTGGGAAAACCACTGTACTTCCTGAGTCCATGTAAGGATTTGTAAAACAGCTGTAAGAACACCTGCATAACTGAGCTACCGTGAGGCCCGTTGTTAAGAGTCACACGAGGTAACAAGTGTGAAGATGCTCTGTAAACTGGAATGTGCTCTATAAATGCTAAACATGTGACATTTTCCTGGGTGCTCCCACCTAGACCATGGGGCTACGGTCAGAGCTGGGCCGCCTCCCTCGCACACACCTGGACAGAGAGACTGCGGTAGACCCGGGTGATGTTGACACTGTGCGGTTGGCCGTCAGTGACGGGTCGGGTGGTCAGTTGGTACACGTAGGGACTGGTGCCCAGCTGGTACCGCAGCTGCAGAGTCCCTGTGGGGTGTGGAGGGGAGGTCTCCTCTCAGGTCCTACAATCCCCATTATCTAGGGTTCTTGCAGGTATCAGTGTGTCATGGAGGAGCCAGGGTAGCAGAGGAGCACCTGTCGGGAGCTTACCATCCTCCTTGATGAGCACGGCCATGTAGTCGCGCACGAAGGAGCTGACATAGAGTAGGACAGCGGGGGCGGAGTGGGTGCTGAAGCTGAAGGACACTTCCTCGCCAGTGACGTTATAGACGGGGCCCCGGTAGCCAGGCACAGGCCGGCCAGGCTGTGGGTAGTCGGGCAGACGGTAGCCGGGGCCGTGGTAGCCAGGCACGTAGCCAGGAGTGTCGTAGCCAGGGATGTAGCCTGGCTCGTAGCCCGGCACCGGCCGGCTCAACATGTGGGAGAACTCCCGGGCTGCCGAGCGCAGGGCCGACTGCAGGTTATAGCGCATCCAGGTGCCGGGCTCGAAGAAACCACCGATATCTGAAGGCAGAGGTAGTGAGATCAAGGCCTCGTCCCCACGTGAAGACACTGTCTGTGTCAGCCACACATACCTGCCCCTGGGACTTGCCTTCAGTTCTTGCCACCAACCACAGTTTCATCTAATCCAACCCCTGCATTTTACAGGTGGGGAAACTAAAGCTCAGATGGGTGTTGTTGCTTAAGAATACACAATAAGTGGAGAGCCAAGATTAGCATGGAGATAGCATGACCCCATCCAGCACCTTCACCACTACTCACACTTCCAAACCAAGACCAGGGGTCTCTTGCTGGTCCCTAAGCCCCTGCCTCTCCCTAACTCCGCCAGACTTGCCGTCAATGACCCACTTGCTCTGGTGAATGACAAGGTTCTCCTTAACCGAGAACCAGGCTGGAGGCAGGTGTTAGGAGTGCAGCAAGGGTCAAATAGGAAATGGCATAGGAGGGCCTCATGCAGCCTGAGGTGGGTATGCTTGCAGGGGGGGTAACCTGTGTTACCTTGGTGACAGGGGAAGACGGGAAAGTTATTTGCTTGTTGCATCGGAGTTCTTTTCCTACCACCTAGCTGTACCACCCTTTCTTGTCC